GTCCCTTCCAAGCATTTTAACCAGGCTGAGTTACAATTTGTAGGACCTGAACCTGGAAGGGACCATTTCAGAGCTGGCTGAAAAGGTGTTTTACCTCATTAAATGCCATAATACGCCTTTTCAGTGCATCTGGAGAAGAAACACTGCGGAAAAAACCCAACACTATTACTTTTGGTTTGACTGTGAATTAAGCAAACTTCTTTCCTTCAAGTTGCTGAGGTTTTGGCGAAGGCAGACCGTACATGCTGTCTTTGGTATTTCTGACTGTGCTGGCAGGGGGCACAATTTGTGTTGTTACTTGGAGGTAACGAGGTAAATAGTATGTTGAGACCGTTTCCATGAACAAGGGGAAAATACTATGCTGAAATGATGATCCTGTCAAAACAAGGCTGCTGTCCCGTCCTCTCTTTGGTGACAGTACTGATGATGAAGGTATTTTGTAGGCAGGGTCAAGAAGCTGTCTCTAAAACACCCTGGCATGTTGTTAGTGTAGAAATTGGCTCTCACCCAATCTTACAGATCTTACAAATCAATGGATGGGCAGGAGAGCAAGAATGTGAAGTACAAGCACGTGTTTGTGTGTGGTTTGCCTGGCATTGCCCTCATCTCCTGTGAGTACCTGGGTGACTTGCAGGAAACTTGGACCTGGGGCTGACTCAAATCCCACCAGCCTAAGGGAGAGTTTGGTTGCAAAAAGGGTTAAGCAGCAGTCCCAGCCTTGAAGTTCAATGCTCAGGTCCACGCTCAGGCCTATTGATGTATTTCATTTCAAGAACAGGCTTTTGCCACAGCTCTTCAGTGTGTTGTGCCAACGCCTGGGGACTACAGTGGTTCAAAGTGGTTTCAAGGCTCCCAGCTGCCTGTTCTGGTGATGTGGTGGCCTCTTGTCGTGGCCAGGCGGGTGGGCAGCAGCGATCACACCGAGTTTGCATGGATCGAGTTGCTTCTCTCCGACTTCAGAGCAACATTATTGTTCTGCGTCTGTGATAGCACCCAGAAGCTGGAGGTGCTGGTGGAGCTTGGTAGTGCTAAAGGAGGAGAAGGAAGAGGAGGAAGCCGAAGAACCAGCAGGCCCAGCTCCCTCGCTGAGGTCAGGGGCGAATAAAATGAACGTTCCCAGCTTGGTGAAAACGCCCGTGCTTCACCGCTACCTGCCTTTGGTGGAGGTGCCCGAGACCAACCTCAGGCTTCAGACCAAAACAAAACCTGAATTGGTTGAAATAAGGGAGAAGCTCTTAAGCCCAGCCTATTTTTAGAAGATCCTCTGCAAAGAAAGTCTGATCAGAAACAGGCTTTATTGTTGGAGCAACCCAGCATTTCCCAGTGGCCCTGGGACTCTTCCACCTCTCCGGGTTGGTTAAATCTTGTTAACTGCCCGAGTACTGCTTGGTTTCAAAGTCCAGCCTGCGTACCACCTCCCCCACCTTCTCTTCCTATTTTCAAGGCACAAAATGAACATCACCCTTCTTAGAAGGCACTGCTGTTTCATGTGTACTTTTAGAGAACACTACTTAGAATGATTTAGTGCCTTTTGGTAACTGTGGGCTCGCTGTTTGTGTGCATGCTAATCTCCACTTGGTCTTTCTTACCGCTGCAAATTGCACCAGGGAAAAAGATGGTTTTGCAGAACGGCGTAACTTGGAAATTCTGCCTTTTTTTTTTTTAATTAGTGGCTGTGAAGAAATCTGTTTTTCCACCAGCTGACTTGCATGCTTTTTAGTGGTATAACAGGTTCTGAGGGGAGATCTCCACCACAGATAGCAAAGTGAACTTCCCTCCTTAGGAGGCAATCTGCAAGATTCTCCTAAATGCATTGTCTTACAGTTCCTCCCTTGGTGGTGAGCAAAGTCAAGGGGTTTTGGTCCTTCCTTTTAATAGCCTCTATACTTCGCAGGCTGTAAGTAGTTTTCAGAAAGGCTCAGGACAGGAGGCATGCCCCTGGGTATGTCTCTGCTTCCCTTTCTAGCCACCTCCATGGCACTTCAGAGCAGTGGATGGGAGCAGAAAACACAGCTGGCCGGGGGGCAGAAATCCTAGTGATGAGTCCTCACAGACAAGCTCCTTGCTATGTTTCAGTCTTCCACAAGCTGACAGCATTAGTATCTCCAGTGTCGTCATTCAGAGGTCAGCAGCAGCTGCACGCCAAGGGATGCGCAAAGATTTGGAGGCAATATCCCGACGTCCGTACCACGAGGCACCATGATGACAGGGAAAGGGAGCAGCAGCCTCCCCGTGAGGAATGCACTGGGCTCCAAGGACAACTCTGTCCTTGCTTTTGGAAGCTAACAAGGAATTGGGGAATCAAAGAGAAGGTTTGCGGGGTTTTGGAGGCTTGTTAAAACGCGTGGCTCTGAACCTCTTCCCGCAATGTACTGTCATAGGACTGGCTTGGGAAAAGAGCTGAGAAACAAGTGGGAGGAGAGCATCAAGGCTAGCCTGGGGATGGGATGGTCCAGCCTGCCAGCTTCCCACTGCTGCCGAAACCAGATATTCTCCCTGTCAGGGCAATGAGGACCCTTGGAGGGCCAGCATGGGCTGTGCACCTTGTGTCCACCTCAGCCCCCCGCATCCCTGCCTCACCAGGGCCAGCAACGGGCGATGGCTGCAAGCGTGGCCAGCACGTCAGGAGCAGGTGGGATTGGTGCACGGGGCGGCAGTGCTTACTGGGGTCAGCATTTCCCAGCGGCCAAGCTCCCTTTGCCAGGTGGCATCGTCGTGGCACCGCACCGCTGAGGCGCTTGTGGCTGCGGTGATGAGAGCGTGCGCTGATCAGCACGGAGCCTCTCCTACGTTCCATCCCCCTTGTTTGGGTGCGAGCAGACCGTGAGACCTAACAAACCTCAAACCCGCTGACGGCGAGCTGCGGAGCCGCTCATTTCCGCTCTTGGCTAGGCAGGTCCCCTGAGCCTCCGTCAAAACCTCCTCACTGGTGCAAAAACTCCCTGGCTTCCCACTTTTACTCAGCCAACTGCTGGCAGCCGACCCCCAGACATTTGCACTCAATTACCCTGATTTTCATCACAGAAAGCAAAATTTGCTTGGCCACAGCTTTGAAAGGGGCAAAACCAACTGTCACGGGTCACAGCCTGTTCTATCCGATCTGCTCTCCGGATTTACCACCTTGTTTTTCAGTTTTTCCTCCCTGTTATGTGGCGTTGGTGTTGGATCCTCTTCCTGGTGGGACGGATCTTACACAAAACCCTTATTAATCGGGTTAATAAGATTTCACAGTTTGGGGGTGAAGGTAGTAACGTTATGAGTTGGGGGAATTTGCAAACACAAGCAGGCGAGCAGAGAACTCCCTGTCTTTGTGAAACGAGTGCTGCTGTTTCTCTGTAAAAACACACTCATACTTCCTCTACTGCAGCTTCTCACGCCGCTCAAGTTCCCTAGGGGAAGCGAAGAAGAAAACTTGTCAGAGGAACAGATCAGGAGCGAGAGAGATGATGACTGACTGTACCAATGGCACAATTCGGGGATTTTGGGGCAGAAAATAGACAAAATGCCCATGTTCTTCTCTGGGTTGCTACCATGACTAACCATCCACAAATTTGAAGTAAATTAAACAGCAAACTTCAAATATTTAGGAGCTCTTAAAATCAAGGGAACAAGTTAGCTAAGAAGGCCTTTGACCAAGGGGTAGCACATGTTCCGAATGGATGCTAGTGCCAACAGGGCAGCGGAGGCAAGTTGCACCCACGGTTTCCCTTGGGCTAGAGGACGTGGGAGATGGCGTATGGGCATGTCAGCAAGAGCATGGCTGCCCGTGTCACCCTGACCCGGCCACGACAGGAAGGAGTCCTGACATTTGCCTCTCCACCCTCTCTAAACTGTGGTTGTCGGCTGAGCAACACCTGAGTAGCACATACCCGCGGGACGCTAGAGGTGGTTTCACAACAGGACGCATTGCCCAGGTCACATTGCTGTAACTGATTTGGGCCTTGGCTTATTAACCAGCTCCCCTGAGCATAACACTTCACGCCATCGTGGCACAAGAATCAAGGTGTGAAGCTTTTGGGATTAGAAAGCCCATACAGCTTCAGATGTCTGTGTGCCTACATCAAAAAGGGCAGCCTTTTGCCATTTTATTTTTTTTCCCATTGCTGTCAAGACCATTCCTCCCTACGCCCCAGCTACGAGAAGCAGGAGCGTAAGTCGATACTTGGTCAAGTCCCATCCTGCCGCAGCCTGAGGCAACACGCTACCCTCCCACTGACAAGTCAGCTCGGCTCCTACGAACCTGCTGTGGGCAGGAGTCTCGTTAGCTCAGGCTCTCCAGGCCACACGCTCCCCCTCTTACCCAAACCGTGCAAGTGTTTTGTACGTTGACTTTCTCAGAGGTGTTTTCTTATTCTGCTGGGTCATTCATTCAAATGCCAGAATTGTGACTCATTAAAAGGGCAAGCTTGGGCAGCAGGGGGGTGCAGGAAGGAAGAAAAATAGCTTGCAAGAGCCTTCCTGTTTATCCATGCCTTGGGAAAAAAAACAACACAACAGAATACGCACACCCTGGCTCCATTATCTTTGCTGGCAGGGCGCTGGCTTGGCTCTGGCCCCTACCACTCCAGGCCAAATCCAGCCCTGCCGCGAGCGTGTTTACTTTAGAGGAGTTTACTCGAGAGAGAAATCCAGCCCCCGGAGCCTGAATGCTCGCAGTGTGCGAGCGAGCACACAGGCACCGGGGCACCCCCCCTACCGCGACCATGCACCGTGGCGCTGGCCCCCGGCCACACTGGGGAGGTCATTTTCTTCTCGGCAATTAGCGAAGTGGTGGCATCGCTAAAAAGAAGTTGAATAAACACATTCAAGCCGGCTGGGTCCCTGGTTTGCTCTGTTCTCACCACCCTTCCTTCTGAGCGCGCGGTGGGGCCCCAGCGAGCGAGAGCCCGGTGCCTGCGCGCTTGGAAAAGGCTTTTAGGAAAGAGCAGGGGCGGGAATAACCCTTTAGCTTTCTTCTTTTACAAACAAATGTCTTCCCTTTTTCTTTTCAGGGAGCAGAAATGCCAGCTTCTCTAAGAAAACTGCAGCAAATGGCTGTTTTCATGGGACTGTTCAGTGGCGGGGGATGCCTCGTGATGTATAATCTTATGCAAAGTAAGTCTCGGGGCTGTTCGCAGCCTTATTTCTCCTCTGCCCCTTTCAGTTTCTTTTGCGTAGCGGGGAGAAGAGCAGCACGCGAGACGTGAGCAGCAGATGAAGTTCAGGGAAGCGTGGCCGGGCCTCTGGGTTCTGCCTCCATGTGCTCTGCTCTGTTGAGCCCCAGGGCTGCTGGTCTCCCAGGCGCTGCTGCACCCCTTTCCAGAGATGGGTGCTGCATAGGAAGCAGGTGGTTGTGGTCAGGAGAAAGACTGGTTTCTTGGGGGTTTCCTGAGGATGAGGGCAAAGAGAGAGCTTAGGCCATGATGTCGGTTTTGTTTCTTACGGAGATTTTACAACTGGGCTGGAAAAGGGGACCATCTGTGAGAGCGTATTAGAGTCTAGCGGTAGGCGTAACCTACCTACACAGAGGTGTAAACCTCTGTGGTGCTGGCCCTTCAACACAACACGCCTGGGAAGTGCTAAGGCATCATTAGTTTCTCCTGAACAAAGGGCGGGTGAGAGCACTCATCACTGAGAAGACCAGGACAAGGAGAGAAAGGCTAGGCAGGTGCCATTGCTCTTTATACACAGCTCTAGTTGCTGCGTGTCTTTGGCCAAGGATTCACATTATTAGTCCAAAGGATAGAGGTCTATTTTTAATAAAACTTCTCCCTAGATATTTAGCATCAGACCAGAAATAGGCTTATGCCTCTCTCTCGGGGGGTGTGGGGGGCCTCTTGGCCCTAGGCCTCTCCCTTGCTGGTACTGTCTAATGATACTGCTTTTCACCCACGCTTATATCAGAGGGTGCTGCCAGAAAAGTGTAGCCAAGCCTGTTCCTCAAGCCCTAAGATAAGCTCTGCAACCTCTCCTTCATTTTACATGTATTAATGACAAATCAGACAAGCCTGGAAAGCAGGCTTTACTTTGGGGCAGCTCATGCCCTCAAGCACTGCAGTAACATGACAGATATATGATCCTCTTACACCTCAAAATACTGGCTTTAACTAGGACATTAGCATTTTTTAATTTTCAGCTTCAGCATTATGTAGAAAACTCTGGGGAGGGGAAAAATACTACAGAAAGTCATCACCTAACTGCGCAGTGAAGTGGTGCAACGGGATGGCTATTTCTTGCTCTGTTGCAATACCGGTGGCCACCGAATAGCTGCCGGGTAACTTGGTGACGAGCCAACTCGGCTGTTGGGAGGACACTTTCTGCTGCAGAGCATGTCCTCCTGTAGCCTCCAACAGACAGAGCAGTCACACTGATCCTTCCTCCCTTAGCCCACGCCTGGGGTTATCCCAGTTCCTTCTACTATCCCAGTGCATAGAACTGGCCCATACTGAGACCTGTGAGGGGCAAGTGGATTCCGTCGTGGTGGGAGCAGGGGAAGAGTGGTGTTTCACTTCCTTCAGGCTGAAGGGAAGTTTGTGTGCACGTGTCCTCTGTGAAAGCGTGTACAGGCTCTCAGATAATCCTATTTCTACTCGTGTTCTTTACCTCCACATGGGAGCAGCCTCCCCAGCCAACTCCAGCATCCTTTCAGTTCTCCTACTGAAAACACATGGACAAACAGATTAGTCAGGCGTTTTGTGTCCAGTAGACAAGGTGCTAACAGGGAGCAGCTGAGAAGGAGCACCAGGAAACTCAAACCCATTTCCCCTCCAACCTGCAGCTTAAGCACAACATACTTTTAACGTGGTCTAGGTGGCTGCTTGCCACAATCCGTAGACACTAAAGGGCTGGCGTGCTGCAACCCCTTTAGCTGGGACTCCTTAGCATGGCCCGGGGGGCCAGGGAGGACCAGCTCAGGCTGCAGCCCAGCAAAGCTGTTTCTGTGCCAACTGGATGCTCCTTGCTCACAGGGGATGCCTCTAATTAGGGAGAGGGGGCAGCATCCTTCCGCCTCACGCTCCACGAGTAACACCGACAGGCGGAAGACCAGCAAACGAACCTTGTTTTAAACTCTGGAGACGAGCACGAAGTTGCCAGAGTAGGATTTTCACACATGCACACCCTTAACTCTGCCCATCTTGGTGTCAGGAGAGTGAAGCTCAGCTGGCGCAAAGCACAGGTAGAAAACTCAGCAGGCAAGCCTTAAAACCCTTTGTAAGCGGTGTCTGCCTCCGTGAGGAGGGTCGGCACGTTTCCGGCCTCGCAGCTCCGCAGCCGTCACCAATGGATGGCATTTCCCAGCTGCACACAGCAACCAGGCTTTGACAAACAGCACTTGACCACAGCTGACCTCCGTACGCCAACACCGCAGCATCCGCTCCGCCGCGCCGTTGTTGCTGCTTGGGCGTTAACGCGAGCGGCCTCTCTTTGAGACCCCCTTTTAACGCGTCCGGCAGCCGAGGCGCAGCTTCAGGGCTGCCCCTTGAAAAGCTGTACCAGGACCACAGCAGGAGTTTTCACAGCAGCAGCTGATTCTGTCTCACACCAACCCCTGCAAAATATTCTCCATTCTTAAAGTATATTTTCCGTACCTCTTTTAAAAAAAAAAGTAAAAACAACCCAAAGTACACTCAGAACATTTTTAGCTATTCATCCTTAGGGTTTTTTTCCCCCTTTCTTTTTTTTGTTCCTTTTAGCTGACGTGCAAACGTGTGAAAAGCAGGGAGACACAGCCATAACCTGTGTATCAGCTCGGCACAGGCTGCATATATATTCAGCGCCCTCTTCACTTAAGGAACCCGAATAACGTTGCAGCTCAGCACTGCTGCTCTGATACAAGGGTGCGCTTCCTCCTTTCGCCATATTTCTCCTAATTAATAGTTTCAGAGTGTTTTTCAGGGTGGGTGTGGTAGTCTGGAGGAAATGTCTTTTTTTTTTCCAGCTTATATTTTGAGGTTTAAGTGGACAGTCTCCTCACTACCCTGTTTCTCTCACCCAGAGGCCTTTGCCAGGACCCAGTATTACCAGCAGGCTTTGGAGCAATTGAACAGCAATCCCGACGCCCTGGAAGCCCTGGGTGCCCCCCCCCTTAAGGTTCACAATATCCGACTGACGGATGGGAATAACCGGGTGGACACAGAACGAGCACAGGTAACAGGGCTGGGGAGGTGGTGTCACAGGGAGGCTTCCCAAGGCACCAGCTGACAAGAGACCACCCAGGGGACTCTTAGCAGGTTACAAGCGACCCAGGGGCACTGGATGGCAGTCGGTGGGATGTCAGTGGATTTGAAGAGGGGAGTAAATCCAGAGCATAAGTCTATGCTCTAACGTGAGGAAGCAGAAACAGCAGTAGCAGCAGTTTCATTTTGTGCTAGATGGGCCCATCACAGAATGCCCAGGGACCTCTCAAATCCGTCGATCCCTTTCCTGCTACTGAAAGCCACAAAACCGTTTTCAGAAACGTATCAAGATCCATCTTTAAAAGCAGCTGCCTCCCTCTTCTCCCCAGAAATATGCCCCGCTAGTTGTACAAAGCTTTTTTCAGAACAGATCTGTAGCTGCTCCCCAGCCACGCTGCGGTACGGCACA